ATTGTTGTGATTTCGTTACATCAGAAAAAAAATCTACTTGATGACATATATTTGGCACTACAATATCCTATTTTTGAACATATTTGTGTATATGTAGACATTTACAGGACACCCTAGTAAATATATTGTACGCATTAATTCCTACACAGCAGAACAGTACTTACAAACATAACATACATGCATACAAATATCTATGTATATTTTAAAAACTGTGGATGTCTAAGGATAACAGGAAAACACACTCGGCTGCGTTACATGACGGAAGGGGAAAATCAGAGGGGGGAGGTGTAAAATCTAAACAAACATAAACTCTTAATAGTGTCACAAAAAGAGTTACGACTCCAGAAATTAATGTGGAAATCATTCGTACATACATACGCACATATGTGTTTAAGTTTATTAGGTTGGTTCTATAAATAAATGCCAATATCTATTTAATTAAGAAAACTTTTAAAAGTGTTCCGTGAAATGTCTTTTAAATGGATTTTTAAACGAATATTTGTGCAAGGATACTGTTATTTACAGCAGTTTGAATCTTATTCTAATTTTTCCCTCGCATTCTGACCGAGGTAAAGTTTATCATATGGATTTATTAGATCTCAAATATTTCCATTTCCCATTTTTCTTCGTCTTACTGTGTAGCTTTAATTTAGATAAATATTTTTGTTAATTTTCTTTTAAGCACTTTAAATGTGAGAGCCCCTTCAACGGAACAGAACTGAGTAACAACTTGAAAAGCATCAATGCTAAAACAAAAGTGTGTAAATAAATAGACGGACGGATTGCAAATCTAATAAAAGCGAATGTCGAATGCTCTTATGTGAGATGTCATATTGTTTTATGCCAAATATTTGTACACTTATATGAAGATATCATAACTATATACAGATGTGCATATGTGTATTTAAGTACATTTGCATGTATATGAAGTTATGTGTTTGCAAACAAGTGATGTGTGAGCTTGTGTTTATATTTAAACAAAAAAATCCAATAAAAGTGTCATTCTCTGTTCTAAAGTTGAATAAATACCATGACGTCGGGATGATATACTTACGTTAAGGGTCTGTATATTATGGATGGGAATGTAACATGTGCTGTACATATTGTACAACAGGATGAAAGAAGCCTTTCAGGGCAATAGCATTTGTTGTATGTATGTCTGTTGTGATTATGTTTATCATCGTCATACACTACATTGTTACTTTAAAAATATTGGGCTTGACATTTTGATGTCGACCTATTCTTGGCATTATCGGTCATCCTATGAAAGTCATAAAATATCTGCCGAATGAGAGCAATCACAGCACCTGGGCATATGTATCTTCCGTTTACCCTAAATCTGGCTGGGAATTTGTTTACAAAGGCTTAACATAGGGAATGCAACGATATTTTTCGACCAATTTTATGATGTAAATAAACCATATACTTGCTATTTGGGAGACTTACATTTTTTAGAAACTCCGACAATAGTGCACATAACGGATTCACTGTTTGAGTGTTATCGTGCGAACCATTCAGACAAATAGAAGATCGGTCATGTTTAATTCGAAATAAATCCCAATATCTGGTCAATGTCATGCATTTTACGTCTTTGGATAGACTTTAATGTCAAACCGGAAGAAACATATGTATATATATTATATATCTTTGTATGGGAGTTATAGGAGTTATACATCTGTACCGAGTTTCACCAAATGTCACAGACTTATTTTAAAACGGTTCGTCCTTCCGCCAAATAAACTGAACTGCGGCAATTTTTCAATGGTCTGAAACTGCGTCCTGTTCCATAATAACAAAGTGGGCGGAATACCCTGTGGGTTGAGTATAAATATTACCTCTGATTATTTCAAATTTAAGTTAAATAAAATTGCACTAAAAAGTAAAATTAAGCTAAAAATAGTCGGGTTTAATCTCATTATTGTTGTTTTTATAAAAACAACGTTTGTTTATTAGTCGAGAAAGGTGGTAATGGTTATTGGGGCGGGGGGTAAGACAGGGAATGCCTAGGTTTCAGAAAGAGCCACCAATCCTCATCAGTTCGGCGATGAGCAAAATCTTTCCAAAATCATTTAAAGAAATACTTTACTATATGCCTATACTGATTTCCTTCCAACTTTGTATCTTAATATCTAAATTTGTCTTAGATAATATAATATAAGAAAATAGACCTCCCACACAAAAAGCCAAAATTTCGAATGATTATTTTTCTCATAACAGTCGGTGATTTTTCTCAAACTTTGTGTATCTAAACTTTTTTACCAACAATATATCTGATATTAAATACTTCTTTACGTATTTCCCACACAAAACTAAAAGAAATGCATTAACTATTCCTCACACAAAAGTCCCTTTTTTGGATAGAAGGGCAAAAGAAATTTGTTCCATTTTACATCGGCATAGCGCCATCGGCCTTTCTTTATATAAAGTAAACTCTCCTGATATTGATAATACCCAGGTCATCTGAAATTATGACATGCTTTCTGTAGAGCCCACACAGATTATGCCAATATATTTGCATTTGTTTTCTTGTTTTTGTGTTTGTCTCTTTTATGACAATTGTGTGCAGGTGTGAGTGACAGCATCAGCCGCAGCAGGAAAATCCAAACAGGAGGACATTACAACACATTGAGCTCAGCTGCTGAGCCTTTTCCAACTGAAAAGATTTTTCATTTTTGCTGTTGTGTGAGTTGAGTTGTAGTTCAGTTTTCATCTTAGGCTCATTTCATGTATTTTTTCCTTCTGCTACGTGCCATCATCTACATCTTTGGCCCGCATGAAAGAAAGAAGGAATGGATGAATGAATGAATAGACTTGTTTTGCATTAGGCATTACTAGATATTTGCTTGCCAAGGTACGGTATTTGCTCTCTGTTGTAATCACTGAATATGAGTGCGATTAGGGGACCAAGCGCGGTGAGGATTTGGCGAGGCAGCTGCGACGACGGAAATGGCTTATTTCTATTTCAGCAGCTGATGTTGTACTGCCACCAGTGAGTGAGCCTTGTTCATTTTTGTGTTTATTTGCTGTCTTTCGCGCTTCTTTCTTTCGTTCTCCGGCATCGCCAGTCAGCATCATCCTGCCTGGCGTTCGTGTTGCATTGTGTGACAGAGAAACGTCTGCTCCATGGCCATATTCCCACGCGAATGCTTGTTTAAGGTCTATTGTTCCCAAGATAGAAAATTCTTTTCTGGGAAATAATTTCACAATGAAAGCAAACGTTAGAAGCCACCAATGTTTACCGTTATTGTGAAGATGCGCGTTTAATTCCCAGCCTCCTGTTTGTCCCACACGACACCGCGCCGCGCCGCACTACTATCATTGCTAGAGCAGCCAATATGTTGGTGTTTTGCGCTTCACTTGATTTCATTTTCCAATAATTCCTTTTGTCGGGAGCGCGCGGTTTGGCATTAACCGTTAGTTTGCAAAAATAAGAAAAAAAGTTTAAAATTATTTGAAACTTTGACTTGGTAGTCTTTAATGTGGCCTCCAGGCAAATTGGCTTTAAGGATATGGAAAATTTATAGCCTATAACTATATAAAGTTTAAGGAAGCCCAATGTGTTTGAAGGTTTGTTAAAAACTTAAAATTAATTATAAAATGAAACTATTTTCTTGTATCTGCCGTCAGTGCAAAAGGATTCGAGGAAGTATGTTATGTAGGCTAGGTACATAGATAAAGTGGCGATGGAACAGTGTTGGCATGTTTGTACGGGGTACCGCACTATTTTGTTGTTGCAAAATAGTCAGTCTTAATCCTTTTATTATTCTTTTTATTAAAACAACGTTTGTTTATTAGTAAAAGTGGGTAAGGCAGGGAATACCGAGGTTTCGGAAGGATCCACCAATCATCATCAGCGGTGGCCAAAATGGTTTACATTAATTGTTTGCATTTCGTGACTGGAGCTGAAAACATGTTTTGAAAGAGCTAGTTTTGTTTTTGTTAGAGGGCAATTTTAATGCTTATCGTTGAATTTTTATCATAGCAGCTGTTGCCGGTTGAGATTGTGGCTATGAAATGTAATATTCTACTTATATCAAATTGAAACCTGAGTTTTACGGACAATCGAAAGATTCATACAAAACCTGATGATGAACTTATGATGCAACTTCTTTTTTTTTGGTAGGGAAAAGTTTTGCTGAGGTTGTCTAAAACGAAAACTACTCACCGTTCGTTCCTAAAGATACAAATATGAAGTTATTGATAGAAATGAGTCGAATATGGAAAAGTTAAATCGTGATGGTGTGGTTTTGTATCTTCTGGCCAATTTAAGTTCAATCTATGTTCTCGCATTCGAGAAGAAGTTTAGGTCTTGTATCCATCATGAGGCTAAGCCTTCAGTTTACAAGCCTCTTTTCTATCACCAATGTTTTTTTATACATCGATGATCGATCGGGACTTTAAAGACTTTATTTGCAATGGTAAGGCTTAACTCTCCATCAAAATTATGTTATGCCGCAATTTGTGCCATCTAACATTAATGTGGATTGCATTTGGTTTCAACAAGAGGGCGCTACATATCATACAACAGAGAAACAATTCAATTGCTGCATCACTCATTTTCCGGTCGTGTTATTTCGCGTTTTGGACACCAGAATTGGGAGCCTAAATCGTGCGACTTAACACATTTAGAATTATTTTCTTTTGGGGTTTCTTGAAGTTGATGGATTACGCGAATAGGCCGACGACGGCGCTGTATTAATAAAAAAAAACCGCAGCATATATGCAAATATGTTGCATACATAACCTCATTCTGTCTACTTTACGATACAATAAAGTTTCAGGATTTTTTTAATATCTGTGTTTTATTTTTTTTTTATTTTAAAAGTTGTATTCTATTTGAGACATCCGTTGTGTCTATTTTGACTGGGCGAAAAGTACACGGCTGCGTATGATAAACATATTTTATGCCCATAATTATTCATACGCCATCGCTACTTGGACATAATTTTTTACAGTTCCCTTCCCATCTAATATGTGTTTAATTTTTATTATTATTTTAGATGCGGTCAAGAAACCAGAGTTATACCAAGAATATTGCAGCTTCGCTCCCACTGGCTCAAGTCCGAAAAGGAATCACTGCGGCTGGTAGAAGCTGGCATTACCAAAGAAGTCATGAACAGTGCAATTGCTCAATTTTGTTTGGAAATCATTGCCAAGCATGGCGATCCAGCTCCAAGACTTTGCAACAAGGATCCGCTCACCCTAAAAATGGGCACTTATGTGATAGAGCTCTTTCCAAATGTAAGTCCATAAGTCATTTACAGATTTCTTTTGATTTGGTCAATTCGCCTACTTAACACTTCTGTTTTGTTTTAATTACAGGCAAAATTCCTATTTATGGTACGCGATGGACGTGCCACTGTCCATTCGATTATTTCGCGCAAAGTGACCATAACGGGTTTCGATCTGACCAGCTATCGCCAGTGCATGCAAAAATGGAATCATGCCATTGAGGTTATGCACGACCAGTGCAAAGAGATTGGCAAAGAGCGCTGCATGATGGTGAGTTTTATCCTGTTTGGTTCTGCCGTTATTCATTATGAGTTTTCAAATAATTGTGGCTCAAACGATTAATCAACGATGTAACGCAATGTGCTTGTTAACCAGCGATACAACAACACATTACATTGAAAATTAAATTAAATGATGTCGAGACCAGTGAACGCCATTGCCATGCCAGGCAACATTGTTTTCCATGTTCAATAGCTGTAGGCATGTGTTCTTAGTATACAATCATGTACGAAAGTTTAAACATTGCTGGAATATATTGTAAAAATGTCAAAATGTAGAATAATAATGGCATGTAGACAAAAATGTTGATAAATGACAAGTGTCCAAATGCAATTGCAAAGGATCTTGGATTTAATGATACTATGAATAAGTCCATTGAAAGTACTGTCAACATCATTTTCAAGAGAACTATTAGAGGAAAAAATTACACTCCAATTCTACTGGAATACATGTTAAATGGCCTTTCTTATGGCAAGCCCTTCCCTTGAAGTTAAATACCTGAAAAATCTACCAAAGGGTGTGACCATTTTTAAATGTAAGCTTAACTCACGCTAGATAGTGTAAAAAATTACTCGGAGTACTACCACCTTGCATGTAACAATGTGCATAAAGTTGAGCATTACATATTTGTGTAAAAATTTCATGTGATTTTATTCTAACATTAAAGTACAGTCCACAATGCAGAATACACATACTCTATTTTAGGCTTGAGTGTATGTGTGTAGGTTTTCGCTACCATTTACTGCTCTGCTGAATTGCTTTCCATACAGCGTGCATCTGGCGCCAGACAGTCTGTTATCATGGCTGGAGCATTTTAACAAAATTGTTTCAATAGCAAATGTTATGTCGCCCTTTCTACCCTTCCGTGCCATTTGGTCCATTATCTGACATGGCTTCGCTCTCCAATGTTATATTTTGATTGGAAATTAAATGCAGCGTATTTTTAAAACGATTAATATCTTTGTGGGGACATCGCGAACACAGTGAACCTAACTGTCAGCCATGAGACCATGTCGGGGTATTAGATTTTTAACACAGTGTGTATGTGTATGGTGTGGTAAAAGAAAGTTTGGTCTGTGCGTTTTCTTTGGTTGTAATGGCTACTGAACGTGGAATGTTTGCGCACCAAGCTTGATCACTTGTAAGAGAAGTTTCCAATTGATTAATATATTTTATCAAGACATTCTCCAAGGACACAGAAACCATTTATATGTATGAATGTAATTAGAATAAAGAACTGTATTACGAATAAATACGTATGAAAAAAATAGAATGCTGTCACAATCTATATATTTACCAAAACTAATATTCGTTTCAGTGTTTTTTTTTTTTTTTTTTTTTTTTTGAATTCAGATAATAGCTGATTTGAATATTGTGTACAAAAGCATAATTCTAAATTCTTTAAATTTCGGACAGTTACAAGGAAAATGTGGACGATTTTCAGCTTCCATAAAGATGCATAAGGAACTGATTGGGTTCCTATTTGCATCTATATTATTAGAATTATGTTTGAGAATATCACTTCCGGCCTTGAATACCCACATTTTCTCCTCTGATATTAACAGCGAGTTGATGTAAGTTTGACCTACTGATGGGTCTAGCTTCGAGTAAATTCGGGTCGTTTGATTGGCTCTATTTATGGCAAAGACGTGATCTTTTTGTTCGATAACTTCGCTTCTGGCACTGCTCAAACCAAATGGTTCAATATTGTTTTGCATTACACGAATATAATTTGTCCAGTAAATTTGTTTTTGCAAAACTATTTTCCTCAGTTTGTGAGGTAATCGGCTGCTATTGTAATCAAATATGGCTCGAATGATATAATCCTAATGAGTTTTCAAGTGGATGATGTGGCTATGTTCCATGCCTCTTTCTAATCTTAGTATGTATGTCGAATTGATCTGCAAACTGTTAAGAAGAGTTTCCATTTGCACGAAATTGATACATCGGGCTTATTCAAAATAAATTTCCATGTAGAGTTTCAAGTTTTTTTGTTTGAGTAATTTTTTGAAAAAAAGAGAAATAGGTAAATTCCGAATTAATTGTTATTGGTTCATTTTTGTTAAACTATTTTTCATTTCGCGGAAATTTTCCACCTTTTCTGAATATTATTTTTGCCTTCTCCATGTTGACAGTAACATTCCACATATCACAATACTCTTCTAATCTATCTATCATTATACCCTACAACACTATGTGTTGGGGGTATTATAAGTTTGATTGGGCCAAAAATTATGTAACACCACGAAATATTGATTTCCCACATAGGAAAGTATATATGGATCTTCCTATCTCGCCGAGCTGAGTCGATCTAGCTATGTATGTCCGTCCGTCCGTCTGTCCGTCTGTCCGTCTGTCCGTCTGTCCATGTTAATTTGTAATCACTCTACAGGTCGCAATTATGGTCCGATCTTCACGAAATTTAAAATGGAGGTGGGGCCTGGGTCAGAATAGAACCCTATTTCTTTTGGTGATGATCGCATAATATTTAGGGGTTGAAATGGACCAAAAACTGAAAAAATTCCTGATTTTGCACTTGCTCTACAGGTCGCAATTATAGACCAATCGACGCGGAATTTCGCATGTAGCTAGAGTTTAGGGCTGGCAAGAAGCCTACCCATTTGGGTGGTCATCGGATAATATTTAGCGGGTAAAATAGACCATATCTTTTTTGTTGAAAAAATTCAAAATTTTTCATTAAACCGCGAATATTTTAAATCCCGGCGAAATCACAAAGCCATGATAAGGTTACTTCTGATCTTTACATTGATGTTAACATCCAACAAAACGGATATATAGCAAAATATGTGCGATATATATGTTTATCAAAGAAGATATGCTTGAAAGATCTCTTATATGTCGAGAACGGCTGAACTGATTTCGACAGTTCTCATTAATTCAGAATGGCCTCTTGGCAGGAAAGAAAAAACGTCTAAAAAAATCGCATAAAAATATCTCTCTAAAGATGAAAATATTGGATTTGTAACATTTTCTCATATTTTTTCAATTTTGTTATATTTTTGGCATATTTTCATTTTGAATTAAACATTTGGTAATACTTCTACAGCTAACAAAACTAAGTAGTTAGGATATCAGGATATCATATACAGATCGCATTTATGGCCCGATCCTTACGAAATTTTGCATGGAGATAAGATGAGGGTCAGAATAAAAGCCTATTCTTTTTGGAGATGATCGCCATATATTTAGGGGTTGAAATGGACCAAAAATCTGCAAAATTATCAGCAGGTCGTAATTATGGGGGTTACCGGACATTGCAAAAGCCAAGCAGTTTTGGATGGCCATCCAAAAATATTCAATGTGTGAAGGAGTTTGCCAACTTTTGTAGACAAAATAGGAAAATGTCCATTCCAGTGACTTTTTTGGAGAATTCACAAATACAGGAAAGACGCACTTCTGACTATTTCGTTAACGCTGATTTCGTTGAAGAATATAGTAAAATATATGTATCTCATATAGATGCGTTTCAGTCAAAAACCAATAATAAATGTTAATCTTTTGCCACTTCTGAGAGATTATAGGTCTTTGGGAAATATTGGTTCCAGATCTAGGAAGACCATTTACGTGCAACATTTTCCAATAAATTGGAAATGAGCAAATTAGTTAAAGTTGCTATTATTCGAAAATTAGAGAACGAAACCTGATGGCTTTCTTTTATTATTTGTCACAATATCTTGTGAAGTTCTTTCGAGTATCTCGCCTATATAAAGTGTATCGTTTATTATAGTGTTGTAGGGTATTCAACGGTCGGCCCCGCTCGACTGTAGCCTTTGCTTACTTGTTTTTGTAGTGCCTTCAAATCATTTGCCAAGATTACCATATCATCTGCATTAGGCAGTATTCTTATATTTAGGTCATCAATTTCGTTACCGCCGCCGATCTAAGTATAATGCAAATAGCAATGCAGACGTCGAAAATTTATCAGATTCAGATTATGTCCTGTCCATACTATGAATTTTGTATCATTATATACATTTTCCTTAAATTGTGTCACCTCCGTTGATACACCAAGAATAGTTTATATAGCATAGATTTTCTGCACACATTGTCGAAAATCTACGAAGAAGGCATATGCTTTCTATCTTCATGTCAGTTTATATCGACCATCGAAGTGAGACTAAATATATTATCATTCATCGAGTAGTTTTTTCTAAAACCGAATTGATATTCGTTGATCTTTTTGTATTTTTCTGCCCAATTGGACAACCTTTCCGTAACTATTCCCATCAAGTAGTTCATAATATATAGCCCTCAATAGTTCTGAGTGTCGTATCTCCCTTTTTAGTTATGTGGTAGATTATGCTGGTAGAAAATGTCATGTCAATTTTTCCAGAGTTGAAAACTTTGTTGCATTAATTTACAATTTCCCTTAGCAAATGTTGTGGAGCATTTTTATAGTTCTGTCATTGAAATAAGTGTTTAGGTCTTTTTTCATTTGAGTTAAATCTAGATCTTCATTAATCTACAACCCTGTCCAAGCAGTAATGAGTTCTATATAATTTTACTTTCGCCTACATTTGCCTTCCACTAAAGCCAATAATTCATTTTCATTTGTGACATAAATTAACCATTCTCCTTTTATTTCAATAACAAATCCCATAATGTCTTTGAACTTTCCGGGTTAATCTTTTCACACTCAATAAATCTTCAAAATCAATTTATATATTCTGTTTGTACATTCGTGCCGGATATCCTATTTACGGGGAAGGGCTTAGGATTTAATTTACAAAATTAGAAAATTGCAAAAATGTCATTACCAAAGTAACCGGAACTTGTTGTGTTTAAAACCCGAATATCACTTTCAAATTTTTAGTTCGAACATAAATCATTTGAAATATCAGAAGATAACGTTCAACCAAGCATCTGCCACAACACTTGCTGCTGGGCTCGTACTTGACGCTGATGCTGCTGCTGCAGATGATAAATTTTCTTGAAAACCATCAGTGATTTATGAAGAACGATAAGCTGTACTTTTGTACAGCCTAAACTCATTGTAAATGGTTGCGCGACGGCTTAGTTTGGTGAACAGTTTGGCCATTAGGTTACATTTCCACTGCCACTGCCAATGCTGCTGTTGCCGTTGCTGGCGTGACTAATATAATAAATGTACTTCGGCTGGTGCTGGTGGTGGTGGGTGGAGTAGAGCAATCATATTCATTGAAATGTGAATCTCTTGCGGACTTATGGGACAATGACACCATAAGCTTTAAATTAATGAGACGGATAAATTGATTTTGTATTGTTTCGGATTGCTTTGGAAATGAATTTCAGTTTATTAAAAAAGTTTAAATGGTACAGAGTTTGGGAAATCATAAAGTTGAGCGTTGAACGGGATTGGGTATTTGGGAAGGCTAATACACATTGCTAAATTGGTATTATAAAAGTTCAATCTGTCTGTTGGGCTAATTATCCAATGGTAGAGATATTCTTTGGAGATTGCTTGGAATTTTTAGCATAGCCAACATTAATTTCACAGAAATTACTATCAAATTTGTTACTATTTTGATTTTAAACTTTTTTTCGATATTTTTCTTGTTTGGGTCTTTAACAAATATTCAGCTTTAAGTTCACACAAGTTGGCCTACCCCAACAAAAATTGATAGACTCCCAATTTATGTACAATTGACCTTCAAAGCTTTCGAGGTATTGAAATAAAGTAAATAAATAAAAAGTCTAATCTTTGAAAATAGCAGGATGAAATAAAATAAATATAAAAAGTAACTCTAAACTTTGAAATTAGCTGAATAACATTGTTATTGCTGGAAAATGCTGTCAAAATAATAAATACATGAAATTAAATTGTCTCATTTTGAAAAAAAAACTCCATTGCATCTAAAATGTGGAATATTTATTTTTTCCTCTTACAGGTTTATTACGAACAATTGGTATTGCATCCCGAGGAATGGATGCGTAAAATATTGGAATTCCTTGATGTACCATGGAATGACTCCGTTCTGCACCACGAGGAGTTTATCAACAAACCCAACGGTGTGCCTCTCTCAAAGTAAGTAAACGACATTAAGAGTGTTTTGCGGGGATTATGACCGTTTTTTTTTTTTTTTTTGGTCATAACTCCACATTGGAATGGGAATTATGTCCAAGAAAAAATCGGTCTTTATCCCCAAAAAGTAGCAGAAGTGAGTATGTCCAGCACCAATTATCGCGAACCAATGTTTTCTAAATTTTAAACTTTTTTGTAATTAGCCGGCTTTCGGCCGGGACTTGAGATGTTTTCCTCTCAGTTTGTCCAACAGCAGCTAACGCAAAGCAAATGTTTCTAAATTTAATACAATTTGTAAAAAAAACGGTCTTTGGCCAGGGCATAAAATGTTCTCCCCTGAATATATCTAACAACGGCTAATGCGAACTAAAGTTTTCTACATTTATTTCATTTTGTAAGAAACAAGCCTTCGCTCGGAGCTTGAGATTTTTTCCGCTGGGTATGTCACGCAACAGCAAACGCAAAAGAAACCAATCATAATCTCCATTACAATTACGGGGATTATGACCGTTTCTTTTTCGGTCATAACCCCCATAATAAAGAAATAATCGATCATAATCCCCAGAAATAGGCTTACAAATAAAAATAGTTTAAATTTCAATATCTTGCGGTGGGATTTATATTGAATTTTTATTTTTACACTTTAGCTCAAATGTATTCTTAGATACAGAAAGAGTATATGTTTCGTTTTTTTATGCTTCCACGCGCTATAGCTATTCAACCTTCCAACTTATTCAACTGCACCTCCGCCACGTATTTAATGAATTCCATTACCATGGAATTCTTTAGGGCAATGATGCTTATTCTGTGTCACTGGTTTTAGACTCTCTTTCTGTCCGTCTGTCTGTCTGGATACACATCTATTCATTTTTATGTCATCTTGCATTCGCAAATTCCCAGAATTTTAATATCATTAACTAACTTCCGCCATAACTTACAATTATGGCTTTGCTTTATGGGCGAGCCTCAGCTCCAAATGCATACAGATGGCAACGGTGGGGGGATAGATGGAATGGGAGTTGGGGCGGCCTCTGCTTTTGTTTCGTGGAGATATGCGTGTAGAATATAAAAAGTTTTTCCATCCAGGTAACATGGTGTCTCCAAGCTAAATGGCTAACGAAGCAATTAACTTTTTGTCTCCCATTTTTCTTGTCTATTAATTTGTTGTTGCTGTTATTGTTATTTTAAACTTGCTTCTGTTTTCTTGTGTCTTTGCAGAGTGGAGCGTTCGTCGGACCAGGTGATTAAGCCAGTAAACCTGGAAGCCCTGTCGAAGTGGGTGGGCAACATACCCGAAGATGTGGTGCGCGACATGGCGGACATAGCACCTATGCTCTCGGTGTTGGGCTATGATCCCTTTGCAAATCCGCCGGATTACGGTAAGCCAGACGCCTGGGTGGCAGATAATACATCGAAGGTATGTGTGTGGCTTATATAAGTGCCGTTGCTCTTCTTGTTGTTGGTTCCTCGTTTATTCGTTCGTTTGTTTGTTCGTTGGCTGCTTGGTTGGTTGTTAATGTGCGCTTGTTTTGTGATTTGCTCCATTTAGTTAAGTTCCTGACTTTGTTTGTTTTGTGTTCAATTCGTTTTGGCCTGGACTCCAATTCCCCATTGTGTTGTATTGTCTGGGTTGTCTAGTGTACAGTCCCGCTTTTCCTTCCCAGTTACCACCAACCATTTTTATTTATGAATGTTCTTGTTTTTCTCCGCATTTTTCCTTTTTCTTGTTATTCTTGTTGTATTTATTGTACGTGTACATGTTGTGTGCCATCCATCCAACCAACCAGCCATCCATCCAGGCATTGCTTTTATTTTCGTATTATATTCCATTATGTTTCATTTAATTTTAACTTTCCTTTTCTTAAACATTTTTATTGTTGTTGTTGATTTTTTCTTTCCTTTGTTTGTCTTCGCCGTCGTCTTCGTCGTTGTAAAGAAATAAATAAAAAAAGTTTTTCCTAACAAATGTTGACATTGTGTTGCGGCTCCTACAGCTCCTCCAGCCGTCGTGTTCCTTAACATTAGGTAGTTGGAAGTAATCTTCATTACGCTTACTTTTCTCTACGCTCCCACGTCCCCGATTGGCTGAATATGCGTACCGTACTGCAGTTCTCAGGTTTTTGAGTAAATGATAGTCAATTAAGTTCCTTTATGTTAGCTTTCAGCATCCTAATGACTTTTGAAATGTTCCAAAATTTATGAACGTGTAGAAATCTGACTCACCATTCACTTCGGTGAGCAGCATGTTGATGGGACACGACTTGGTGTTTTGTCGTGGATGTGTACTTTTTAATCGACATCTAACGTCTTTAATCAAAGTTTCTCTAAAAAACGTGTCGTAAACCGAATAAAGTTTATTACTTCTTCTACTTGACATGCCGAAAAGTAATAGACCTCAAAAATTAGACTTATTATGTGTCTGCCAGGATCAAGATAAAGCGAATCACCTACCTACCTAACTTAATCATTTTAATCTGTGTTCTATAGTAGGCTCCGGCAAGTCAAGTTCACACCATCGATTTTACTTCCCATTCGAATGTTGGCTGGCATATCGTTTAATCTTCAACAAAATATTCATTATTGTACTTATCTCAAATCAAATTAACATAAATGACTGTGTTACTGCTCTTCTTTGTAAATACAAACGCAAACAGTCACTCACATCCCCCCCACATACACACACATCCGAGCCCACAGTGCTCCCATGACCTGTTAATTCGATGTGCGTTAATGCATAATTAAACATTGTAATATAAATACATAATTTTAATTAATACAAACAAATGCCATTGCCAGACGTGCTGCGGCAGGACGGAGGGCTGACATTAAATCAATAATACCTGCAGGTTTGCTACTAAACGGTTCATGGCCAATTGCTCCCTGTAACGATAAGCAAACACCAAGTGTGGTTGCCTGCGGTCTTGTCAATTGGTGCGAATCTCAATGTGGTACAACCACCACTACGATTTACGTTAAACATTGATTAGGAATGGGTGGATGGGTGTTTTGTCGTCATCCGATGGCAGCTTTAGTAGTTAGTGTCAACTAAAAAGCGGTAATGAAAATGTAAAAACAGATATTTATGATGTACAGTACAAATGTGCATCTCTTTCTACAAGGATAGGAAGTGGCGATAGAACCATATGCATTTCGGATGACGTGAGTTAATTTAAAAATGTCTATCCGTTCACAACCTTATGAAATGCTCATCCGTCTGTCTGATTGGTTGGTTGGTGGGCACAAAAACTGTTGAAGCTATTTCAGACACCTCCTGCATAAATGATCAACAGTTTCCCAAATCATTTCTCCCCGATGTTACTAAAACTTCGCACCGTTTATAACCTCCACTGTGTAAAACTTAAACTATAACCAAATCGTCTGTCCTAAAAATCCCTAAAATATCAACAAATCGTCGATGTGCCAATATTGTGTAATATGTGAATATTATTTTATTGAGATATCTGGAAAATTTGCAAAAAAGTAAAAAATGGAAACCCTAAACAATAACTTATTTAGTTGGAAAATAATGTGGGGTGAAACATTTAAATTATCTAAATTATGGGGCCAAATCTAAACTAGGGTTGATATTTCTAATTTTTAATACCAATTATCATACCACTTGTCTAAATTGACTTTGAATTTTTAAGCTAATTATGAATGTACTCCTTCTTCTTCGGGGTGAAATTCAGCTAGCGTAAAATCTTGATCAGCATAAGATTCTATATGGATTTAGCCATCCCCGTCCGCCTGTGGAAATCACTCTATATTCCGAACGTAATGAAGGAGGTTGTTAAACATTTGTTGAGTTACATTTAAGTCCGTAGAATTTTCGGTATTGAAAATGCCATATAATTCCACATTTTGATATAGGCTTTACATAACTGTACCGCCAGATTTAAGGCGTTTTGGCTGTTTTCCTCTTATTTTTGGACATAATTTGCTGTAAATTTGCAGCTAATGTTCCAGATATGTAAGAATCATTTTTGCACATAACTATCCATATAGATTCAAGTTTAGGTGTAGTCCCCATATAACTACACCCGATATTCGGTATTTTGCTGAAATTATATCACATTTGGTATTGGTAGTTCGTAATTAAGACTACCTTTACTGACAGAAAATTTCTTATATTGGTCCACGTCTTCGTATAAACCCAAAACGGTACCTCCCTACTTTTGGTATTTTGATGACTTCAACTACATTTTCCAAAGTTCCAAATAGGCGCTGCCCTTGCTGGTAGATAATTGGCTGTAAATTACCACGTTTTTGTATAGCCCCGTAGTTTTGTATAGCAAACGTAGTTTTTAGCTTCTACACCAACATATGTTAAAAATGTGGACTGCAAGTAGGGGAATTTCCACCTCAAACAAAAACTTCTTTAACATTCTCCTTTTATCGGTGAGAAAATAACATTCGTCTTTATCTAGGCTTTGTTAAGGAACATTGTAACGCTAAAACTTTTTGTGAGTATTTAAATAATTTATACGTATTTACGCAGTTAACTTTACAAAAGTGTACTTCCTCTTGAGAGGTCCAATAATTTTGTATGATACAGCAAATACAACATTGCTCCCTGCGTGCCTTTTGATGTTATGGAATATCCAAATCGCAATACAAGTATGTGTTCCTACATCCACTTGGGAAGCTTATTTGTTATTCATTTGAGACACATTATTGTCATACCCTTTCCTCTTTGTCTGTTTCGAACTTTCTGCAAATTTTCGGAAAAAAGAGGGGCTGGATGACAACTCTTTCCACTGATGATTTGGTGAAACGTATTTTATTGTTGAAGCTGTAAAAATTTAATTTAAGATTTTTCCCTTGAAAACAAAAGTATTGAAAAATGTAAGCAAATGGAATTCGTAAAATATTTGTTGCATATCGGCCAAATGAATGAATGGAATTTTCAGTTCCAGCTGGCCTTATGCGAACCAACCTCATAATAAGCTATGATAATTAATTATGGTAATGCATTTTCACTGATCGAATTGTAATATGTCATTTTGCAAAATTAAACGTAGACTCCTCGACTTGTAGTGTCCTTTCACAACGACCAACTGACCCAGGCTATGCATTGATGACTCGCTACAATATTTGTTAAGTTCAGTTTTGTCCATGGTCCCACAAATGCTACAGGAGTGCTGACATTTATATGAGCTATAAACGCCCACACACACACACCTTCCTTAATTTATTTATTATCAGTTTTCAATTTTCTTATATTTATTGTTGTTTGTATACATTTACATTTATATACATATGTATGCATGTATAAATATGCATATCCACATACACACAAATATTTATTGGCCACGGGCCATTGCTTTGATTTCGGGCCACAGCGCCATTCATTTTCAAGTTAATTTCAATTAATGACTTCTTTATCCTTTTCATATCTTTCGGAATACTTTTAATTGGCACTGGACATGCCATTGGCGTGGACACAAACGATAACACAAACAAACACCAACAACTAAAAACCAACAAATGCATGGACATGCTCTCCGACGCGAACAGCTAAAAGCCAATCGAAGGCTATGGGAAAATAAAGCTAAGGAAGTGTTGAAAATGTCGCCCCATCAACAACAGAACGCCAACGCCAATGCCAATGCCGAAGAGGAAGAGGATAATATCAATGAGACATTTGCTCCAGGAAATTCCAACATAATCAGCAGTAACAACAACAATCAATTCAAGCATAACAATAAGGACACCAATAACCATAACACCAACGATGGCGATGACGATGACGACGATGGCATACCGATGCAGCAACAGCAGCAGCTGGAAGGAAAACGCTCTCAACCATACCCCATGGATGGCATCAACTTGCAATACCAAGATGATATCAACGGGGACATCATCATCACCAACAACAACAAAAAGAAAAACAATAATGATAATATGTTGCAACATCAGGACGAGCAGCATTTTAACAACGAGTTAAGAGCAGCTCCTTCGAACGATATGCATCGAAAGAAAAAACTGTTGGATGTGGCGACGATAAGGCAGCTGAATAAAGAAAACGAAAACAAATAATAAAAAGAAACAATGCTAAAGCAAAAACAACAAGAACACCCAGCATTCAAAATGTCATAATGCTTGGAAGAGCAAGAATGACAATGATGAGACCACCACAAAATAATTCCAACACCACCAACACAACGACCACACCACCACAGTCACCACCTACTACCACAGCAACTACATGAAGACGACCACCAATCAACCAACCAGCCAACCCTGACTTTTTACCGATTTGTTTAATGAACCGAACCACCATCATCAGCTATCGATCATTGAATGGAACAGAAAGTTGCCATCAGCATTAACATCATCATCAGTGTAGTTACTGGGGGCATAACCCACCACCCACTTTTTTATTCCGCACTGGCAGATTTGCATACACACACACACGGGCAAACATTAAGGCAATATAGAATGATAGGAATAGAATGCAGGAACACCTGTGAGTAACTCTTCAACCGGCGAATGATGCCGACACAATCTTGTGTTCCATTGTTGTACAATTTTCTACATCAAATGCTAGATAGCATGGAGCCGGAAATGCAATAGGGAAACGGATGTTCCATCATGAGCAGCAGCTAAAAACTGCAGACGGAGACCGTGCAACAAAGCCATCTCAATTGGAATGATTAAACAACAATCGTCGTTCGCAATCGTATTGTGCGATATGTGTGTCTTTAAGTACCCGTGTACCGATGCATTTAAGTGCGAGTGTGGCGCCCGAAATAACAAACTCCTTCTTACCATACATTATACATTGCTACAGATATCGCCTGCACATGCAAGCCGAACGTGTACATAGAGTCAGAGGATAGGTATGTATCTATCTAGGTACGTTGCATTTCAACAAAATCGATAGAGCAGATAAAACAAATCGAAACCAAACCAAATAAAGTGTATTAAACCATTGAACCAATACCGTGAACATATAGACGTACGTACATACACAAACCCACACACTCACACATCCACACATCATTTGCTATTCACTCAGATCCAAGTTCGCAATTACCTTAATATTTTATTTCAATTGCTAAAGGGTATCCTGTATCAGCAACCTAAGTACACATCCTGTACATAGCCCCCCAGATACAATATATTTGGGATATTTTCTTATCTACGAGACGATTTGGGGGGGGGGGGGGGGTTAAACTTTGAAGGTGAAGCGTTTAAAATTTAAATCTATTAGATATTGTTCATGAAATTCAATTCTATGGGCACATAAATTGCAGAAAAACTTAGTTTGAAAACTATATTACCGAATGTCCGATCCATAACAGAAACAATAAGATCCCTCCCAGACAACACCGAATCGTATTAGAAATACATATTTTCACGATATGAACGTCCATCTCCAAATGTGCGAAATAGAATGGTATCGCAATGAGGAAAGGTATCGCAATGAGGAAACTGGGAAAAATAGGGTAAACGCATACATTTGTAACGTAATTTCTGGTCGACTGAATATGAATATCAAAATTTTAAATCTGGTTGCCGTTTATGCCATTGCAAAAAGTAATTCTTCAGAGATTAACCGCTTTAAGGATTTTAATCCCACAAAGTAAATTAATACACTGGCACTGGTACCCATTCCAGTAAGTTTTTTTTTATATTCCAAGGAATTTAATTCAAAATTTTGATAAGTTTTTAATTTTCGAAACATTTTCGGTGTTTAACTTTGATATGATGTACAGTTAGTTAGTGATTTTAAATAGTTAGCCATACTAAAATGTTAATTTGTTTCGTTGTTTCGTTTGTATTTGTACATAGAATTCAATATTATAGATAAATCACCTACTTACATTAATCTATATACACAACTTCAAAACATTGACAACAACAAATAAAAAGCACGGATTTGCAAAGCAAATTTGTGAGAAAGTAAATCAAATAATACCTAAGCGACTATATATAATTTATATTACTATCTATACATACTTATATATTAATAATTATCTAATTTAACATTTAAACGAATGAAGATAAGAACACCTCTAAAGAGCTTTTAATAATATTTTAACAATTTTTATTTATATATATAGAAACTATGTATACAATTTATTAAAAAAAATAAATAATGAGAAATAAGAGGATCGAAACAAAACACAAATCCTCCTCCAGAATAATTGATAACAAATAAAACAAAAGAAGATGAAATAAAAAAGAATATGTAAAAACACGCGTACAACAACCCATCTGTACAGTGTATAGTTAGGTAAATTTATTTTACAAAATAATGTGACTGATTGTGTATAAACAAATATATATATAAATAAACATGAAAACAGAAAATAAATTGTTGTCGAGCATAAAACCTGCTACATGTCATAAGTACGAGGTTGGTAAGATGCGTTTTTGGCATACGTTGCAAACATATGTACATATTTATGATTTGCTTATTTTTTTGTTATTTTATTGCCACACTGTAACTTAAAACAACATTTTAAATCACTCTTTTACACATGGTGTTGCATGGGCTCGTAGGTTGTGATGGGTATCGCTTCAAATTAAATTTTTAACTTTGTGGAAAACATTAAATCTTTAATGTTCACATTTGTATTCAAAATACAGTCAATATAACCCCATGAAAAGCCACATAAAAGCAATAGTTCAACCGACACTCATACGTTTATACCTTGCTCTGTTCCAGAACCAGCAAGAATTTACTATTTTTATTATTATTTTTTGTTCGATATTATAAAGGTATTGCAGTAAAAAAATTAAATTTAAAGGGAAAATGGTCTTCTTGCTTTTCCTAGAGCTTTAGTAATCAGCTCAAAAACAATCTTGAATTGATATGAGTTATACTTATATAGAGCCTCAAGAGTTGTGTTTGTCTTTTACAAATAAAAAAAAATTATATTTTTAGTTCAGTAAATAAGTGATATTTATTTAAAATCACATTCAATTTTAGATCAAGTTAATTTTAGGTTCTTGCCTTTTTTTGCTTCTAGGAAATTCCCACCACGATAATTTGTAAATTGTTAGTTTGACAAACATCCAGCAAGAACCAAACTCTTGCATTCAATGTGGAAAACATTTCAATCGATACTTTGGTTCCTGATATAAAGATGTTGATTCTGCCTTACACAGCAGCTTATACAGAATGAAAATCTCGATCGATTTTCAATATTTTCACATGTATGTTGTAAAGACACGAATCAGAGGTCAGCAAAATTCAATTATTCAGTAAATTTTTGTTTCTATGGAATTGGATTATTTTGTCTCGTGTCTTCATTGCAATGCAACAACTGACTAATTCATACTGTCCTCGTTTGTCGAATCATATGAGATGTCGGTATTTAAATAAAAATCTGCTGATGAAATTACCAGCAACGGTACACATCACTCCAATGCATTCATGCGGAAAAAAATACAGACATATGTCGATATTTAAACTCGTTGTTTTTGTTCTCGCTATTTTGCATATCTACGGAATGTTTCAAAAAATGGAATCGTTTGAAAATATGTATTGTTTCTCTTTTATTAAAACTTTATATTTACTGTAAATGTTAAACTGGCTATTGTATGGCGTATGGGTTGTAGAATCAAATAAAAACTTGCAACAATTTGGAAAAGTTCCAAAGAAGATTTTCAGGATGGCTTAGAAAATAAATCATTTACATTTTACATAAGTTGGACTATTTATTTTATGTTTGATATCTTGAGTCGATTTTAGAAATGTTCAAGTTTTTATCAGTCGAAGCATTGCTCAAGTTCTTTAGTAATGTCCTTGGCATTGAAATCACATTTGAAAATCAAGATATTTTGTAAGATTTGCCTAGTCCTTTGGATTAAGAAGTTTTCCGATCCCATGTAGTACATATATTCACTTGTTCCAATCGCAAATGTTCAACTCTTTGTTGGAATTATATTTTCAAATGGTAACATTGGTTTACTTTAAATTAGAAAATAAATCTATAAATAGTTATGCAGCATGTGACCAATAATTGGGCATTGGTCATTTCGTACAGAGCTAAATCGCTTAGAAACATTGTGGCTGAAAAATATTTTTTGTTTAATTTACAATTGTAACATGTCTCCTTCTACCCCCAGCTTCCAAGTTTATGCTACACCAACTCAAACAAATCCAGATTGTGTAAATCTGCTAAAAGACAAAAGTAGATGTAAGAAATCTGCTGACAATAAACTAAAAACCAAAAACTTTTGATAAGAAAACAAAAAATGATTAAACAAGTTTCTTATTGTAAAAATAAACAATAAAAATCCTAAATGCTTTTTATTCAAAACCTTTTATTTCACAAATTGGATCATGCATAACTCACAGAAGTTGTAGTAATTAAATACATGCCGACTTACACAGCTTTCAGAGCGGAAAGTTCCTCCTACTCTGTGCCTTCCAAGCGAGGCAAAATTGTTTCATGAGGCCTAAAAAATGAACATTCTTCATGAAGAAGAGAGGCATTACAAATTTCCTGCCGGAGGGGGGCTATGTTACCCACGAACGTTTATGATTATATGGCGTTTTACTTTTTTTAAATTCAAAACCTTAGCAACATTTTATTAATTCCATTTGATGTTAATTATAAATGCAAAAGGGAAACAGAAAACGGCACAAAGCGGAAAACGGAAATTTATTGTGAAAAGTTTCCTTTAAACGAATCCCGAAGAGGAGGCCCAAATGAATTGAAAACTGTGTAAAAAGGCCGCTAAAAAGTACTGTTAACCACAAAATGTTTGGCAGCTGAAGGTGAACTTTTACAAAAAAAAATATATATATATTTTTAACGGTCAGTTTCCTCTCCCAGGTGATAGAGGTAGGCGAAATGGCTGAAGATATGTTGTATGTAAAAGTTCATGTACCCAACAACAAAAACTATAATTTAAAATAATTAAAAATAAATGAACGTAACAACAACATTATTTATACATGTATTAACAAAATGTGACAATGTGAAACAAATACATAAACATGGATATGTACATTTGCTAAAACAAAAAAATCATTAAATAAATAATAAACATAATTTTGTAGAAAAGCAATTTGTATTTTCTCCTTTTTTCGCATTACCTCTTGTGGTCACCTACGGGAAATGCATAAAGGTAAGCGGGAAACACAGGTAGCTTGAACAACAATATGATGCCAAATATTTATTTTTTTATTTAAAACAAATTTGCTTGGAGATTATTCGTAATATTACACAAAGTAAGTCATATTGTTACCATCAAGAGGAAAATGTTTGTTTGTTTGTAATTTATGGACCCGAAAACCGCTGAACAAATTTTCCTTCAAATTTCCAAGGCTATATAATTTTTGTGATTTCCACTTGGAACTGGAGATATAGCATTAGAATCGGAAGTACCTCCGAAAAATGTAGATTTTATACGCACATATCTATTGATCGATTACAGATACAGTCTCCAAATATGGAATGCGTAACGGAATTTGAAACAAAAATTAATTTGGTAAATTATATTTACATCGGTTCAGATTTGGATATAGCTCCCATAAATATTTTCGGCCTATTTCATGTATTTGCTGTATTTGACATTTCAAGGAAATTTGGAATGTGTGATGGAATTTGTCTAACAAATTTGTTTGCTTAATTATATTGACATCGGTTCAGATTTGGATATAGCTCCTATATACATTTTCGACCGATTTCATGCATTTAATGCACCAAACACGCTATGTATCTCTAATGTTAATGAAATTAGGACAGAGAGACGACATCTGGTACCAAAAAAAAAAAATATTGCCAAATTTTATTGAAATCGGCTGAGGTTTGGGTATAGCTCCATATATATATATATATATATATATTAATTACAAATCGGTTAGGATTTGGATATAGCTCCCACATTATTCTCCGCCGATTTCACATGTTAGACGCACCAATTTCTATAAAATATGGAAGGAGTGACAGAATTTGGTGTAAAAGTAAATTTTGTTAAATTATATTGAAATCGGTTCAGTAAAAAACTACACAACAATTTAATTGAGGATACGAATATTACGGGGAAGTATGTTTCTACCTCGAATGGACTAATTGCAACAGAAATGCCACTCAACTTTAAAATATTTCAGTTTCCTGCATCATTGGCATTTGCTATGAAATTAGTAAATCCGAAGGGCAAACCCTTCGGGTATGCATGGCATGTTCATGCTTTTCTCGTGGTCACCTGTTCCTGTCATGTTCATGAGCTATTTGTTTATTTGCACATTAAAGTATTACAATATTTTTATTTTTAATTTTTGAATTTGTTTTATATTTTTTAACAAACATATATTCGTATATGAAATTTAGAATGCATATGAAATCAAAAGGGGTAGCGGGTTTAGCCAGTATTAAATATTTATCCTGTTTCGGGTCAGCAAGTTCGGAGAAAAGTTTAGAAAAATAAACATCAGAAACACATATCTAATGATCGTTAACACCAATGCACAGTGGTCGAGGTTGTATGGGAACAGCGGCCAAAAATTACTTTCAGTGCAGATATTAATATAAATCTTTGATTATGGTACCTTGATGGGATAAAAATAAAAAATGGATCTGGTCGGTGCATGTTTTGGCATGGTCCCCTTACAACGTACCTCCCGAATAAGGTTTTTTGCCCAATTCTTGTCACATTTCCACACCTGATTGTTCTGTTATTTGACATTTTACGTTCTAAAGAGTTAAAAAATAATCTTACTCAAAATTTTTTGGACCGGCCCGCCTTCAGGTTAAGTCCCCCTCTAAAGGTACCTCCAAAAATAGAAATATTTTTTATACAAATCAATTCCAAATTTGATTATTTTTTTGTAAACAAATTAAAATAAAAATTCAACATAAAATTAAATCAAAGTTACTAATGGATATTTATAAATTTCAGTGTTATTCAAATAAATCAAACGCAGGTTTAATAACATAGATTTTTTATTGTTTGGTAACGTTCGCTGTCCCGTTATAAAAGGGTCAGAGCTCAGAAGAAGATGGTTAATAAGATCTGTGTTTGTTGAGAATTTTTCGGATATGATTTAGTCGAAACTTTTTTATATCTTTTTTTCTACACTGCACGGCCTTCTTTTATAATTCTCCAATCGATACAATGATAAATTTCAAATGTCGGGTGCATGTATTAAAATTGTATGAACTGTGGGTGGAAAATAGTGCCATGGATATCTATTTGTTAACTCTATAGAAGTTTCCAGTGCAAAGGCCTTAAATTTTTCGAAATTAATATTATACCCAGAAGACAATGCTTGTAACAATTTTGAAAACATTTTTATCAATTCCAAACAACAAAAACATATTATATGTCACTAGCACCATAAAACTGATAAAATTGCAG